GTCAAAAAGGCTAAACTTTTCGGTCCAAAAGTCAAAACAAGTCAGAAATTAAAACTTTCCAATGATTTTGTCAACAATTTCACTTCAAGTTTTCGAAATACTCCTTTAGCTTTATAGAGGGCGCGAGGGTGACGTCATTGTTTTGTTGGTCGGCCATGTTGGATTACAACATAACAACAACAAAACGCACATAAGTACCCGTACCCACGTACATGTACGTACGTGACGGTAGCGTAGCGCAGCATACACACTTTTGTCAGTTGGTTGCTGTTTCGACATTTTCTATGTTTCCAAGCTGTGTAAGACATAGAAATGGTGAATTTTTGCGCAATTATTGGCTGCAGCAACAGGGGGGATCGGGACAAAAAATCTTTTTTTCGGCTGCCCGCCGTTTTGACCCGAGAAGGAGCTGCCACTCTGGAACTCTCCCAGAGCAGACGCGCTAAATGGCTGTCGCAAATCGCCCGAGACATTAAAGAGAGCAACTTGCCGTATGTACGGGTCTGCTCGGACCATTTTACAAGCGGTGAGTTATTTGAGTAAAAGGAATTCCGTATACGGACTCCTCTTATTTTTCCTAAATATGACTTGAAATTAAGTACCCAAAGTTGTAAATCTGATGAAGAAACGCAAATTTAGGAGGGAAAACTGAATCAAGATTTTTTGTCAGAAAACACCTTGACTTTTTTCTGTCATGGCCCATACAGTTTGTGCAGAAGGTCTGAGGAGGAGTCTGTATATGGAATTCTTTCCTAAAAATGATTATTTTAATAATATTATTAATATTACACTACAGTTACAGGAGTGAGAAAATTTAAAGTTTTTCTTTGAAATTTATGAAAAATCTTTTATTCTGTGGTACTCCATGGACTTAATGTTCCCCTGGCCCTCTCCACCTCTTTGCACTATCCCGACCCTTATTTGGGGTTTTCGTTATGTTTTTCATGCCCCAGGATGGGGATTTTGACACAAATTTAAAGTTTAAGTGTACCTGTGACTGTGAGCAAACCGCGCTCAGATTTTTGCCAGATTTTCTTAGGAAACATTGGCATGTCCCGTAAGTGTAGGTTTTGTGCATGGAAGTGGCTGGGTATGGAATTCTTTCCAATATTTTTCCTCGCTAATTTTTTTTTTTTTCATCAAGCCTGCACTTTAACAAGATTGTAAATCCATAGTTGGATGATGATGCCTAGCAGCGATGTCCAGTCAACATTCTGAGATTCTGAGATAGTGCTTGGATAATGGATATTATATGGAAATCAACGCTCATTTTCTCTGCCAATTTCTTGTACATTAGCCCTTTTTGTAACCGCATACGTAACCCCTAACTGCTCACATTGCTTTTCTGTCGTGACCTTTGACAATACCCACAATGCCTGACAACGGTGATCAACATCAAGATGGCATCCTACAGGGAGCAGTGCAGGACACATGCAGAGTGCGCGATATCAGACCTGCTTGACGCAAGCGCCTAGATGAGATGCACACAAAAAGCCTTTGTGTGAACGTAATAGCACATGCATTGTCAAAGGTCACGAAAGAAAAACAAGGTGCATTGTTACGTATGTGCAGTTGGGAGTAAAAAACAAAGGATTATGGAACCAACCCTTTTTTGTGATCAATAGGGGTCCACCCACTATAATGTTATTTGAATGAACAATTTGTTAACTTATTTTGTATTTTATTCCCTGTAGGAAAGCCCTCTGCATTGTATGATAATACCAATCCAGACTGGGCACCAACTGTCAAGCTTGGTCACAGCAACATAGATGGTGCAACTGCCACTCGAGACTTGGAGAGGTACCAAAGACGCTGCTACAGGCAGGGACAGAAGTCCAAATTGGATGCCGCCGAGGCTCTTCTCCAGCTTCATTCAGTTCCCAAGACCCCCAAACGACAACAGTCCACTTCCGAAGAGGCCTGCCAAACTGACTTGGATAGCAACTCCATGAATTCCACACAATCGGAATTACAGCGATTGTTAGAGGAAAATCGAAAATTGAAAGAGCAGCTGGCTGAGAGTAACAATAATTTTGATCGGCAGTTCTTCCAAGATAATGATGAAAATGTGAAGCATTTCACAGGATTGTCAAGCTTTGCCATTTTGGATGTTCTGTTTACGTACCTAGAAACATTCATTGTGTGCAGCTGTTTGAACAAGTTAACAAAATTTCAGCAGCTAGTGTTGTGCCTCATAAAACTCCGACTGAATCCTACATATGTGGACCTTGGGCAGAGGTTTAATGTGCATAAGTCTACAGCATCTAAAACATTTTTGAACATTATTAACATCATGTATATCAGACTGATGCCACTCATATTTTGGCCTGATCGGGAACAGCTGTGGGAAACTATGCCCATGAGTTTCAGGACACACTTTGGCAAACAGATAACTGTTATTATCGATTGCTTCGAAATATTTTTAGAAAGGCCGTCCAATCTTGCAGCACGAACGTCAACATGGTCTTCGTACAAACACAACAACACTGTTAAATACTTAATCGGCATCACCCCTCAAGGAGTCATATCTTATTTATCACAAGGCTGGGGTGGAAGAGCAAGCGACAAATACGTGGTTGAACATTCATCTTTCCTCCACAAGTTGTGTCCAGGGGATGTTGTGATGGCAGACAGGGGATTTGATGTTTCAGACAGCGTTGGAATGATGGGTGCTAAGCTTGTACTCCCTGCATTTAGAAGAGATGGGCCACGACTATCTGGAGAGCAAGTTGAAAACACGCGCAGAGTAGCAAACTCCAGAATTCATGTGGAGCGAGTTATAGGACATCTGCGCTAGAAATATACCATCCTCCACAGCACAATTCCCATGGATTTTGTCATTTCCAGAGATGATAATGTTACACTTCTGGACAAAATCACCGTTGTATCTTGTTCTTTGACCAACATGTGCCCATCAGTTGTTCCTTTCGACTGAATGGATTTTTGCTTTTCCAGACACAAGTGTCATTGAAGCAATTTTTCAATCTTTATTGCCTATTTTTCTTCCATGTCATAACAATTTTAGAACAAGTCTCCCTCTGCTTGAGTCTCAAGTTAAGTCCAGTTGAACTGCCTTCTGAGTGCCAAGTCAAGTCAAACTCATGTACATGTTCATGTACCTTCAAATCCCTAGTCAAATCAAATCAACACAGGCATGTTGGTGAAGTCGGGTCAAGTCAAGTTGTCACTGCAGTAACTTCGTTCAAGCTAAGTTTAAATTGTTATCTTAAAAAAAAATCTGTTTTGGCAGACTCGAGTCAGAGTTAAGTCGAGTAATTTCTGACAGTGATTCGAATCCAAGTCAAGTCATTTGAAAAAGTGAAGCGAATCCAAGTCAAGTCATTTGAGGTTGGATACTTGAGTCGATTGGAGTCCCGAGTCTCGAGTCCAAGTCATTACAACACTCTGTCATAATAGCATTGATGCTATTTGTTGTGGTTTTTCCCAAAATAATCTGTCACAAACCATTTGAGAGAAAGTAACGTTGGATCATATGATTTATAGCAACCCTTACTCCAATAACTCCATCCATTCGAATGTCTACTTCTTCATATTAGTGAATGGATATGATTCACATTGGGGGGGGGGGTTGAATTTCAAGAAATATGGTCCAACAATAAAAAATAAAATGAGCACATAAAAATAGATTAGAAATGAATGAAAGTCGACTTTCATGGAAAAACAAAACACTCGTGGTGGTGACGAAATATCTATTGTATTGAATTTTGGCTAAAACCTCTGTCTTATTGAAGAGGACATTTAATGATTTATAATCGAACACGCCACTCTAGAAGCTGCTGGCCCCCGCCCATGATGAGTTATAAGCTTATTTTGTATAAATGCCTAATGCGGTGGTGGATGGCAGTGTAAATGTTGTGATTCTTTTTTATAACCGGTGTATATAGTTTTCATTGTTGTGGCCATTTCCAAACACATTTTATCTTAACCAGTGTATTATTTTAATTATGATCATGTATTTATATTTATTTATTCATTTATTTATATATGTACATTTTTATTTATTCATTCATTTATTTATTATATTTATTTATATATATTATATTATTCATATATTGGATTGTGATGGATGCCATTTTCATTGGATATATCTATTTATATATATTATATATATTATATTATAAAATGTGGGCATGCTGCGTAGCACTGTGAAGCATAGTAGATGTAAAAACAAAAGTAAAACAGTGCTCACCGGTGAGCACTGTTTTACTTTTGTTTTTACATCTATATTATATTATATATATATTATATTATTTATATTATATTTATTTATATAATATTTATTTAAACTAAATATATATATATTTATTGGGGGGGGGGAAGAACCAGAGAAACACATCCTTTGGACATGTATACATAACAAGAATGTTATTTATTTTTGTATATTACAATTGTGGGTTCTGACATAAGGCACGCCCTTGAAGAGAAGTCAATTTTACAGTACAGTAGATAACGAATAACCTTGGGATCCATCAAGAGTTGTTGTTACTGTGGGTGATCATTATACATGTACTATAGACTATAGGAAGCAAAGAGATACACTGTAACTTACAAATTGAGAGCCATGAGTCATGTTCACGGATGCAGAATGTTCATTAGAGCAACTTTCTACAGTATTTTCTGAAATGTGTTCACCTGCATTGTCGTATGAGTATGCACAGCGTAAACTCAATAATAAAAACACTTGCTTACTGTTACAGAAAGAAAAACTTTGATCAGAGGTCCTTTGTTTTTATTACAGCCTGGTGTGTGTTACAAGGGAATTCTATACATGTACATTTGATTGCACCCATTTGAAATTAATACAACTAGGAAAAGTAAGGTACATGCAGGAGCCCTTTTTAAATGTATTCTTTTAAGGATAAGGGTACAGTCTTTCCACAGTGATGGAGCCCATTGGACAATTAAGATCATGTTTTTGCACAAAAGCCTTTATCTTTTCTCAAAGTGAAAAAAAAAACTAGCTTTTTTAGGGAATGGCTTTAGCCCAAAAGTTATGAATTTTTTGCCTTGGGGTGGAAAAAAGAAAGTGATTAAACTCTCTGCAACTTTCCTTAAAAAGCACAACCAATTATTGTTATAATAAAAATTTCATTCTTCCTTTTTCCGTGGTATTTTACGACACTCTGGGCAGATCCATTTCCCTTTTGGCAGTCTCTTTATCTGGAGGCAACTTTGGTGGAACCAGGTGATTTTGCAGCCTTCATTAGCGCATGAGATCATCTTGTCCACAGGTTGCGATTTTCCACAGTAGCAGTGTGTAGCTGGTGGCTTATCGTGAACAGATGGGATACGGGTGTAAAATTTGCCCATTAATTCTGGTAGCACTGCTTTGTAGAAAAACTCGCGACTTTTTTCTAGAATTTCATCCCACATATTTGCATCAGGCTCAACTCGCTCGATATGGACATCTGTATTTGTCCACAACACAAAGTCAGCATAGTCAACAGAGCAAGTATGTATTTGTGTTTGAACCTGATACATGTATGCATGTTTCCTATCAAGAGAAACCTCGTTATCATTTGCTACAAGGCATGTATTTTGTAGGGATGCATATTCATTGACTTGAGTGTCACGAGCACAAAATGGACACTTGATTTCTAGGACACCTTCCCCACAGCAATCACAGGAAATACGCCCATCTGGGGAAGCCCCAATGTGGGGGCAACTTGTGTTAATTACCAAGCCAGAGTCCTTAACATCAAAATTATGGTGCACTTCTCCCATTCTTTCCACATAAGCCTGCCGTGCCTCTATTTCATGGGAGCATCCCCACTTGGTTGCAGCTGTAGAAAACCTGCACGACTCTGGATAGCACACAGATTGAATGAGTGATTGAGAAGGTTGGTCTGGATTAGTCCTGCAAACATTCTTCATCTTTGATGCAGTGGTGCGGCCTGATCGAAAACGAAACCATTTCTTGCTGGATGATTGTGCTCTTGTTGCCTTTTCTACATTGTCTGCCTCCTCTTGGGTAATTGTCAGCTGAAATTCGTTGCATCTGTTAAGCAGTTCAGGAAATGAGAGAGTTGAGTACTGAGGGTTATACAGATCGGTTAGAATTGGTGGAAGGATGTTGTCAGTATGTGATGGTTTGAATTGGTGGCAGTGTTCAGGTACAACGCTGAGGAGTGCCGGCTTAGTTCCTGTTGCATTCATCTGCGAGAAGAGGGTTGTGAGTTCAGCATCAGTAGGCCCAGGAACTATCTTCCGCACCTTGCTCCGTGGAGGTGGCATCAAACCATCATTAACTAACATATCAAGCTTCCTCTTTTTGGTTTTGGCTGATGTGAAGTCTATTTGAGCTACAGGTAAGTATTGGGCATCCTTTACAGCAGATGGAATCTTCCAGTAAGCTGGTTCCTGTGTTACTGTTTTGCTATCTCTGATACGCACCTTTGTGTCAATGTAAAACATCAAAGCACTGACATGAGTACAAGCCTCTCCGAGACCAGCAATGCAGTTGCAGTGGGTTGCGATGATCTTCCCACACTTTTCTGCAATTAACCATGGCTTGAGTGCCGCCTCCCGCAGTCTCTGTGAATGCATCACCTGCAAGTGTTAAGAAAAAAGTTACAAAACATTTTCAGTAAACCAAACAGAAAGAATATCACACGAAGTAACATGCCCAAGACCAATGTATAAAATATGGAATGTAAAGATCTGATATTTTTTTTCCTTAAAAAGTTGTATATTTCATAACAAGGACAATTAAAGACTTGCACTGTATTAAAGTAGCATCTTCTTATGGTGTGCACTGATGGGGAGTGAATTACAGAAAGTTTACATTAAGGGCACATAATTTTTTTTCCACCAAGTCTTAGTTTATTACCTTTGCTGTAACAACGTGCTTGCCGTTGATGACGGTAGAAACGACATTACGAACCCATCCACTTACGAATTGGTTGTACGCATCCAGGCCTTTATAGCATTTCAAGTCCTCCAAAGCGTATGGACTAGGAGTATACACTAGAAAATTAACAATGTCAGGATACGATATTTGAGGAAGAGAATGTGGATCCTCTTTCCATGACCGCAAACTAATTGTGTATGGATCAATGTCATCAATACACTGCAGAATCTTGTTATATCGGACTTTTGCAGGGCCATCCAGGGCTTGGTAGTATGTTGATCTTGCTGCCATGATAACAGGTTTACATACAGTCAACTGCGAAATAAAAACAGAACACAAAAAAAGCAAAATTAATGGCGCTCAATCTGCAGAGTAATAACACATACACACACACAAATTACTGGTGATCGCCAGCTCTCATCAAGCTCATACAGGGCAATACTTGACATTATAAATCAACCTTTGCAGTGTTTGCCCTTGATTTAATTGACAATTACATTTTTTCCCTAAATAAAAACAATAACTTAGGCCAAAGGCTAAGTGCAGTTCAGATGGGATAAAAATTAGCAATGAAAAATGTGATGATTTCACTATGAGTAGGAAAAACCTAAATATTCAGCCTGTCTCATGTTTTGTACAAAAGAAATGTCATTATGGTCAAATACTGAACTAACGCTAGGGCTAGGCTAGTCTCGATTTAGATCCTCTGTATAATGCGTTGTTTACATTTGGACGTGTATTGCAGTAAACAATGCATTAAACAAAGGATCAAAATCGAGAATAGGGCTAGGCCTGAGTCAAACAATACATGAACAAAACATATTTACAAAGTTCCAATGAAATTTTATTTTGGCGTTATTTTCTGATTTTTTTTTCGAAGTGCACAATGACAATGAACTCTTTTAAAATGCGCCCCAAAACATGAAAATGATTTTACAAACTGGAGGTTACAATGATTTATCTGAATTTATCAATTTTAAAGAAATTATTAAATGTTAATGTGGGATTTTCAGAGATTTGTTCAAGTGCGCCAAGTCTGCACGTTTACTCGTTACTTACGGAACACCCAGCTGAATTTGTGCCCAATTTCCGGACGCCACCGTTTTTTTTTATTTCGGACTTGATTTCATGACACTGAAATCTTATGATTAGTAGGCCTACCTGGAATTACATCCCCGCTACAGTTGTCGATTTAGTGGTAGCAGCAAGCACTTCAGCACTGGAGATCAATGAATCATGACACTAACTTGTCTTGCAAGTCGAGTCGTACTCGGGATCGTCTGTAATTTACGTGTTATAAACTTCGCGCCGTCAACGTCCCTGTAATCCAATATGGAGGGCGCTGTGCGTTGCTGCGGTAACATGACGTGGGGCGAGACGGCTCTATAACGTAAACAACTCCCAAGTTCTGTCGCGCAAAAGCCTACGTGAGGATTGTAAACGTTCAACCAATAAAACGGTAAAAGGCACTGGATTTCATAGGAGTCCAGATTTCATGTGACACGGGAAAATGCTTGAGACCAGACAGCCATGTCTTTATTATCCGTTCAAAACCGGCCACGTGACGGGCTCCCGTTCAATTGGAATGGGTAGACTGTCTTAGGTATTTATGAATCATGGTTAATGATCTTTAATACCAACCAGCCCGTTCTCGAAGAAATATATTAAATATTTTGAAGGCCAACTCATTATTTATAATTATATAACCGACATACAGATCCTTGTCATTTGATTGGTGGAACTCACATCACGTGTCAGTCGTTATTACTGCCATTCACGCCGAGGCTCAAAAAGTACTATCCGCCCATGGGGAATGGGAAATACTATTGAACAGTCAGGATCAGTCTTGTTCCATGACGCGGTATTTGTGTGCAAATGAATGCTGGTGTGAGCGTTCAGCGTTGCGCGTAGCGCGTATTGCTCCAAAGAGCCAGCGCAACAGCGTTGGGTTCAAACATTTTTGTGAAGGGGTGGTTTGGAAGAGAGAAATACATTTTTCACCAATGTTGTTTCGAAATAAAAGCTCAAATATATCAAATGACAAGGGTCTATATGTCAGTTATATAAAACAAATATTGAGTGGCTTTAAATTGTGAAATGGGAGGAATATTGTCGCTCGGTAAAATCTGGACTTTTCCAGTTCACTCGGCTTCGCCTCGTGAAATGGAAAGTCCAGTTACCTTGCGATAATATTCCTCCCATTCCACGCTGATCCACTCAATATTTGTATACTTCTGCCTATGTACATTATGCATGTTAAATGCCAGAAGAGTTGTCTGCATTTACTACGGTAGGTTTTATCTAGGTTGCTGATTAATGAACAAACTCAGCTAGGCCTTACTGAGAAAAAAAAAACAATTTGCCTTAATTTTATATTTAATATATTCAAGTGTGGTTCTATGTCCAGGTTTTTGATTCATTGCATGTTTCAGAGATATACTGCTGTACAGTAAAAATTTCAATCCTTTTAAATTATTTTTCAATTGCACTCAATATTTACAACATACACATGATTAGAACGTAAAGATTATGACATGTGCCCTGCGGGCAACAAAGACCAGCGGGCAACCCAAACAGTTAAGCACCTTTCGCTGAAAGTTGGCATCACGTGACAACAGCATGACATTATGTAAACAAATTTCACTTGTTCTATAATATTCATTAATGCTAAACCCGTTGATGTACAGGTTCAGAATTATAAATTCAATAATTTAGTCGAAATTGATCCGTTCAGTTTGACAAGAGAATGCAATTATATAACGCACTATTTGCACGAAATTGGCTACTGAATGCGTACAAAAGCACATAATCAAAACGAAAACTCTATATCCAAAACTGATGTGATCGAATGATGAATTCTTCTTAGCCTCTTTGACTCTGCATTCTCAGTTCTTTTTTTTTGTGGTAGCAAAATAAGATTTATGGGCAAATGTCCAACTAAATGGGCGAATCTTCAACTACACGATATGCTAAAAAACAAAAATGGTTGCAGAGGCAACGCCTAATACAAACGTTTTGATCAGGGTGAGAAATTTATAAAAAGGTGTTTATGTACACTGTAAAACCGTGTGTTTAACTTCTAAACACAAATATAAACACCGTCCGTAACACTTTACAAACACTTGGACGCGTTTATGAATAAACACTGAACACTCATGTTTATATTTGAACACTAAACGTTTATTTCTTTAAACACTATGTGTTTACACATCAAAATATCAACATGTTTAATTAACTGTTTACTTTCTAAACACAATGTACCTTTAAACACGTCAATGTGTATATATCATAACACATGGACGTGTTTACAGCCTGTAACGCTTTATAAACGCTTGGACGCGTTTATAATAACATTGATGTTAAAGTACTAATACTTCCTTTAAATCACCATAACATATATTTTTTATAAAAAAATACATGTTATGGTGATTAAAAGGAAGTGTTTAGTAGTTAAACATCAATGTTATTATAAACGCGTCCAAGCGTTTATACAGTGTTACGGGCTGTTTTTAACATCCTAAAAAGTGTTTAAATAGCGTTTAAATTGTGTTTAGGTATTTAACCTATGGTTGCACTTACGTGTTTACAGCCTGTCACATATTTTAAACACAATAAGCGTTTATAAGTATTACTATGTTTAGGTTTTAAGCATCCTAATTTTTCATGTGCATAAGGTGCATACACATGCTAAACCTCGTGATATATTACATCTTGTATAGCCTTTAACATGCCATGTTGATCTAGAATAAAGTTTGTCACAATACTTGGTGTTTGAAGAGAAAGTTATCCATGATCGACAATAAACAGACCTACATTCAGGGGCGGATCCAGACTGCCATTTGCCGGGGGGGGGGGTTATAATTGTAATGAAGGGTCCAGGACCTGCGAGCGCGGAGCGCGAAGCCCTTACGGCGTGGGATCCGGGGCGCGCTTAAGGGCCCCGGAAAAATTGTGATTTTAGATGCTCTGTGGTACAACCTGAGGCGATTTCTGGCCACTTTCCACCGTTTAGAAAACGTTTTAAACATCGAAGATTCCATTTAAATTTGTTATTTTTTTGTTCTTTATAAAGTTTGTTATGTACCCAAAGTTGAGAACCATGTTCCATCTCCGTATTTTTTCACAAATTTTTATTTTGGAAAGGGATTTAGGCCACTTGTAGTCCGAGCCTCGAACAGCCATTTGCTGCTGAAGGTACACAAAATGTGGGGGGAACCGCGAGGGTGAAATAATAGCATATAGGAAATTTGGCCGGAGGACTAATGCGAGCGCGAAGCCCTTACGGCGAGGGGTCCGGGGCCCGCTTAAAAGCCCCGAGAAATTTTTGGTCGTAGATGCTCTGTGGAGCAATCTCTGGCGTTTCCTGGCCACTTTCCCCTGATTTTTTTTAGCAGAAGTTTTTTTTATAATTATGAAGGGATTTTGTTTCAAATACATATAGGCCTATATGTTTAGTATTTAAACATGTTTACAATGTTATAGCCAGAAAGTGTTTAGAAGAGTGTTTAATTACTAGACACTGTTTATGCGTTGTGTGTTTAAACAAACGCCTATAAACACTTTGCGTTTATAACGTAAACAACCAAGTGTTTAAATGTTCAATAGTGTTAAGATTATAAACGCGTAATGTGTTCACCGGTTTTACAGTATGCAAATATTAAAAGCAAAATATGCAACGAGGAAAAACACATTATAACAGGATTCAAGAAATATTTATATTGAAATGTCCAAAAGATAGAAATAGAGGGACTCGGCTTTAAGAGATGAAAATAGTTAAAATCGTGTGTCCTTTTAAATTGACACATGGCATTTTCGACGTCAAGATATCGTTCTTTTATGATTTCTGTAAGAGGTTCATTGGGCTATAGTATTTAACAATATGAAAGTCACGGGGACAAATTGAAATGTGTAACCATTATGCATTGACCGGTCAATTTTCTTTTAATCTGAAGATTGAATTTTACGTTGCAGATTATTATATAATTAAGAATTCATTTCCCCAGCATAAACATATATGACCTTGCTTATGCAGCAATACGGCGTTGTTTTTATTTCGCCAAGAGCCATTAATCCGGCCCAGTGTGCAGCTAGCTGTGTATGAAATACACGCATCGTGTAAGGCAGGATGTATTGATGACAATTGCATCTATGGAATAATTTATGTTATTATACCTCCGTCTTGAATAGTGCATTTTCATTGGCCTAGAACGATCACGTTTAAGTTTATAAAAAAAAACTCATGGCACACTCCCTGTGGGATCACAGGGAGTGTGCTATGACTTTGTACGTACGGTAACGTTGGTACCCACACTATTTTCACCATGTTTTCATCCATGAGTGGGAACAGCGAACTAGCAGACGATCAGCTGTTTCGAGCACGCGACATGCATGTGAGTTGGCGTTTGATTGTCATGATTGTGGTATTTACTGCTATTTGTTTTCGTGATTTTTACATCAAAATCCAAAGAATTTAAGACAGAGGTATTACAAAACAAGTGTTCACTGCTGTGATGTGGGGTGTTCAAAACGTCATACCCCACATCACAGCAGTCGACAATTGTTAATTATCAACGTGTTTACGTATCGCCTTCATCGGTGGGCATACAGATCAACACACACCAGAATGGAGGGGAAAGAAAGAGTTGAATATTGGAGAGAATGCCTGTTCCAGATTCAAATTTGAAAGAAAGCTGCATTTATATCATAGTTGATAAAAATTATGAAACAGGGCCTGCACTCTAATACGTCGCGGTTCAGATTGGACCTCTAATTTTGAGCTCTATCGGGCCTGACACTTTTCCCAGGTCAAATTGACAATCTTCCGCGGCAAAATGACCCCAGAAAATGAGTTAATTTATTTTGTTTAAAAGTGTGGCTTAATCCTTAAAGGGCCGGGTTATTTTGACCATCTCTCAGCCGGGGGGATTCCCCCCCCCAAGATCCCGGCCACCGAGTGACAAAAAATGTTGAACCTCGGTACATGCATAGAGCAACTCTTCATAAAAACATACCCAAGAAATTTCATGACTATAGGTCAAAGGGTTTAGGAATTATGGCTAATTAATTATTCATAATATGTACGAATGGCAATTCTGCACTGTGAACACGACGTATATGGGATCATTCAGTTTTCACGGCGTATAGCGCCGGAAACTCTTTCGCTGTGCAGCAACCTGTGGTCAGATTTTTATGTTTTTGTATCAAAAGATGCGCAAGGCTCGAGGCTAAAAAGTTATAACAGCTCGGGTCGCGGGAAAAATAAAATCAAGGTTATCGCGGAAAAAAAGTTGAGGGGGGGGGGGCGGATTCCGCTCCCCGGCCTTTTTAGGGTTAATAGCACTCAGAACATGATGATCTATTGTTGCAAATTGTATCTCCGCGTAAGAAGGCCTTGGGAGACTTTTCTGTCAAAGAGGTGGACATTTCAAACTGGAAATAAAACTGAACCATGTATCCCTAGGGCTTTTATTACGATCTGTTTCCGAATATGAGTAGTCCAGTGGCATGCATGGTTACCTTACCAGCAAATAACAACAATTGTCTCGCCTGGGCCATTTAACATTTTTTTTAACGAATTCCGCAAACCTTTGTCACATATATTTGCATGTATAGCCTAATTCTCACTTTCCCCGCATGCATGATCGACGTTCCAAAAGATATTACGTTGCAGTCAATAAAATATGACGTTCAATCAATATGTTGCCGATAGTGCCAAGGGATTTGAGATCTTTTGATTTGTTTTTATCTGGCTTGATCGTTGTCTGCAAGAGAAACCACCGTAAACAGCGCCACCTTGTATCAGCTGGTGTCCACTCAGTTTCGCCCGCCGTAAACAGCGCCCCTTGTTGCTAGATGACGTACAGCCCTTGCAAAGGATCCAGCGGATGTCCCTGACCTACATCCCAGTGCAAAAACACGTTCACGGCGAGTTGATGACATCTGCCGATGCTCGCACTATTATTAGATACAGTCAATTAGCCTTGTAGTTCGATTGCGCACTTCAGTCATATCAGCATGTCTGTTCCAACGACACAACCATTACTCTAAACGTTGCCTTGGTGGTTAGGTAAGTTACCGTCAACATTTTCAATACGTAACCCAGTTCGTCATTCTTGTGCTTGATAAAAACATATTTGTCAGTTCGAAGTGTGTCAGTGGAAGTTATACCTCAATTATTTAACTGGGATGTAAATCATTACTGGCACGCCCTCGATGCTTTTGATCAGTTTCAAGAGTTTACCCACAGAAGCCTCTGCTGCTAGGGGTTTCTGTGTAAAAGCACAGTGCCCAATGAGAGACGAGAATTTAAAATTTGTACGACTGCTCCTTTAACTTTAACTGTGCGTGACCTAGTAAGTCAAATGTCAGAGTATTGTGACTAAGTATGATTAGTCACATTTTCGAAAAAAGTGGTATATTTGAATATTTCGTTTTCCGTAGTAGCTGTTTTTGATAAATCGTCACCGACACCACGAAGTAACACACATCTTCATACCAGTAAAACCTAACATGATCGGTGAAAACGGCAAATAAAGTTGAACGCCTTCTAAAACAACACTTTGCGTCAAAAAGACAGAGTATTTTCAGTTGGGTTTCTCGTTGTGGACACTTGATGAATTGAATTTATTAAATCTGCAGTTTTTCACCCGTTTGTGTATTAAATAAACAAGAAATAAGAGAAAAAAAGAGTGTTAGTTCGTGAAACCGAAAAGGCTGCGAAACTGTAAATGTTCGTTTTCACGAAGTAACACTCCTCAATATATTCAACATGAGCAAAGTGCAACTTCAGGTCAGTGCGCGCGCGCTCATACAACTTATTACAAGAAGAGTGTTACTTCGTGAAAACGCTTTTGCTCATTAATGAGCAGAGTGCGCGCCATGCATTGCAATGGTAAATGGAACTTGAGTGTTACTTCGTGAAAACGAAAATTGTCACTTTTGCGCAAAAGTTGCCATGGATACTTAGCGTAATTATTGAAGTAAAGCCCTTGAAGCTTTGAAACTTCGTGCGACAGTAGGCCTTGATGAATAATGTTTAAAATCGAAAGAAAAAATGGTTTAACACGGTAGAGTGTTACTTCGCGGTGTCGGTGACGAAATATAACAATATGTGTATTGTTGTGTCATTTCAAAACAAAATTTCAATTCCATTGATAAGTAGTTTCCATTTTTGTTTATTAATTTTTTTGGAAATTTGTCTAACCTAAATGACAAAATGTGTCTATTCAGAATGACTTCTTGCGATATTCTCAGCATAAGGCCTGGTGATAATTTTTATTATTCTTATCCTCCTCATTATCCTCTTCCTCCTCATCCCCCTCATCCCCCTCACCCCCTCACCCCCCTCACCCCCCTCATCCTCCTCTTCCTCCTCATCCCCCTCACCCCCTCACCCCCTCACCCCCCTCATCCTCCTCTTCCTCCTCATCCCCCTCATCCTCCTCATCCCCCTCACCCCTCACCCCCCTCATCCTCCTCTTCCTCCTCATCCCCCTCACCCCCCTCATCCCCCTCACCCCCTCACCCCCCTCATCCTCCTCTTCCTCCTCATCCCCCTCACCCCCCTCATCCCCCTCTTCCTCCCTATTCTCCTCATCCCCCTCATCCTCCTCTTCCTCCTCTTCCTCCTCATCCCCCTCATCCCCCTCATCCTCCTCATCCTCCTCATCCTCCTCTTCCTCCTCATCCCCCTCACCCCCTTCATCCTCCTCACCCCCCTCATCCTCCTCATCCTCCTCTTCCTCCTCATCCCCCTCACCCCCCTCATCCTCCTCTTCCTCCTCATCCCCCTCACTCCCCTCACCCCCTCATCCTCCTCTTCCTCCTCATCCCCCTCACCCCCCTCACCCCCCTCATCCTCCTCTTCCTCCTCATCCCCCTCACCCCCTCATCCTCCTCTTCCTCCTCATCCCCCTCACCCCCTCATCCTCCTCATCCTCCTCATCCTCCTCTTCCTCCTCATCCCCCTCACCCCCTCATCCTCCTCTTCCTCCTCATCCTCCTCTTCCTCCTCATCCCCCTCACTCCCCTCATCCTCCTCTTCCTCCTCTTCCCCCTCATCCTCCTCATCCTCCTCTTCCTCCTCATCCCCCTCATCCTCCTCATCCCCCTCACCCCCCTCATCCTCCTCTTCCTCCTCATCCCCCTCATCCCCCTCACCCCCCTCATCCTCCTCATCCTCCTCTTCCTCCTCATCCCCCTCACCCCCCTCATCCTCCTCACCCCCCTCATCCTCCTCATCCTCCTCTTCCTCCTCATCCCCCTCACCCCCTCATCCTCCTCTTCCTCCTCATCCCCCTCACCCCCTCACCCCCCTCATCCTCCTCTTCCTCCTCATCCCCCTCACCCCCTCATCCTCCTCTTCCTCCTCATCCCCCTCACCCCCCTCATCCTCCTCATCCTCCTCTTCCTCCTCATCCCCCTCACCCCCTCATCCTCCTCTTCCTCCTCATCCTCCTCTTCCTCCTCATCCCCCTCACCCCCCTCATCCTCCTCTTCCTCCTCATCCCCCTCATCCTCCTCATCCTCCTCTTCCTCCTCATCCCCCTCACCCCCTCATCCTCCTCACCCCCCTCATCCTCCTCATCCTCCTCTTCCTCCTCATCCCCCTCACCCCCCTCATCCTCCTCTTCCTCCTCTTCCTCCTCATCCCCCTCACTCCCCTCACCCCCTCATCCTCCTCTTCCTCCTCATCCCCCTCACCCCCCTCACCCCCCTCATCCTCCTCTTCCTCCTCATCCCCCTCACCCCCTCATCCTCCTCTTCCTCCTCATCCCCCTCACCCCCCTCATCCTCCTCTTCCTCCTCATTCTCCTCATCCTCATCATCATCATTATTATTGTATTTCTCTCCACATACATATAGATACAGTCAATATCATTAGAACATTACAAACCCACAGCAAAACAAAGACACAAAAAAATCAGCACAAGAAAACACATAATGTGAAAAAGGCAGGACCGTGCAGGAAACCAAAATCCTATCACTCGAAGGTACAGTCTACCCGTTTAAAATGTGAAGTGAGGGAAAATTGACAGTAAAACAAAGTATAAATAATTACGGAAGATAACACACACACTTATATTAATTTTTCTATGACACATATAACACACACACTTATATTAATATTATATGACACATATTGTTAAATTTCTGTAAACTTTACACCAACGGCTGTCCACCACTGCAACATTACTCAAGAGAAAACTGTTGGCAATGCCCCCCCCCCCTCCCCTGCGGCGAGCAGACAATTTCAAACCTCAATAATTGTGTCCGCCATATTTGTTGCTTGGTGTCTTGATGGTTCACGTAACCAGAGTTTCTCTTCGACCAATTTTAATTCAATACAGTACGTCATATACAGTGACAACGCCTGAGTCGTTGAGGTTATTCTGTACTGTCGAGATAAGTGAAATAACTATTTTCGAGCAAAATTCATGTGCACGTTTCGTTAACTATTGCCAACTGCGTTTTGGCATAGTTTCCGCAGTCATGGGTAGTCGGCCTACGTTGCAAGTAAATCTTCATTGATGTGTCGCGTTTACCGGAGTAATACCAATATTTGTCAATCTCAAAGCCTTCTACAATTGTTTCTCTTATTTGTCAAACTATTTCCATGTCCTGTCTTGCAAATCACGAGTTATTCTCCATTTAATTTGAGGATACTTTTCTCTGGTAAATGAACCAAAATGAACCACAAAGCCTTTGTGCATAACATTTTTAAATGTACATGTACAACTTTGCTTACAACTCAATTGTGTCAAACTATATGTCTGAGGTAAAGTTACGTGTCAACACACATCATTATATATTCAGTCATTTCAAAACCAAATGAGTTCATGCATGTAGGTTTCCAATAACAGGTGTTACATCTTTATATTCACAGTATTGGACTGTTGTATATTAGTGGAGCAGATAACATCAGTTTTGCAGTGGAATCGTGCAAATGGTGATACAAACACCAAATTTGGCACACAAATTCGCTAGGGTATACTTCACAAATCTACCCTATTGGCCACTTGAAAATATAAGATGGCGGCCACGTGTCAAGATGGCCGCCAAAATGAGCTCCAAAGAACAATTTGCTCATAGAAAGAAATGTTTTTATATGGTCGATTTAGATGATTCTGGTATCAATATCTATGTTTTCAAGCATGTTGAATTCATTTTTGATAGTTTCAGCAGCATTATTAACCTCTTCGTGGTGGAAAATAGCAAATGTGTTTAAAAATAACAACAAAAACACTCAAAATACAGTAAAACACTTTTAATTACAGTTTCCATCGAATAAACACAATTAGGATATAAATGTGCACGGAAACAATTGTTTCTGATTGGTAAAGAAATTGTAATTCAGATTAACATAGTAGCAAGACCCATGTGCAAAGTAGACAGAATACCCTCTAATTAACATACTGTCCTCTAGTTAATTGACAAGGTTTAACAGCATATTCTTTTCGAATATGCGGGTAATATGATCTCATTGAATCTACTGCGCTCTAAAAACACAACACCACAGATGCAACTCAAGATACATGGACATATTATACCTAACGCCCGGTGTCGCTGTCACACACAGTTAGTGCATGTGTGGAAGCAATTTTTCATAGTTATAATATTCATGTCAGGGAAGCTTGTGGACCCGGCTGTCACTCGCAGGGAAAAAAAGCCAGGTCAACCTCATTCTTTAATACCAGGAGGAAATGGTGTAGCTACATAATCAACTGTTGTGCCCATTAACCTCTGCAACAATTATGAAAACATTGCTTCCACACATGCACTAATCGTGTGTGACTGCTATACCGGGCGTTAGGTACAATATGTCCATGCATCTCGAGTTGCATCTATGGTATTGTGTTTGCAGAGCGCAATAAATTCAATGAGTTCATATTACCCATTATTTGAAAAGAATATGTTGTTAAACCATTTCAATAATTAGAGGCTATTTTTCACCACTAAGAGTTTAATAATGCTGCTGAATCTATCAAAAAATGAATCCAGCATGCCTGACAAATATAGATATTGATACCAGGATCATCCAAATCGACCATATAGAAGCATTTCTATGAGAAAATAGTTCTTAAAGGGGTCATTTTGGCGGCCATCTTGACAAATGGCCGCCATCTTGGATATTCAAGTGGCCAATCGGGCAGATTTGTGAAGTTTACCCTAGAGAATCAGTTATCTGCTCCACTTTATGTGCTGCATGTAGTTATAACTTATTCAATGTTACTCTAACTCTATAAAGACCTCGTTGAGGTAGAGGTGTTTTTTTTTAGCATACTCACTTTTAGTTGACATTTTTCATAATACACACTGAAATAATTCTGTTTGAAAAGATAACTTGATTGTATTGTTTCCTTTTCAGAGGTTGAAATTGAGATAGGGCCAAAAAACGCTGTGGCGGTGATTTGTATCGATTTTCAAATTGTTGCATATTTGTAATCCTGAACATGTCTTAAATATATTATAAACGTTTGAAACCCTAATTTGAACTCTACATAATACTATTTTGGATAATTTCGATCAGGTATATCCTATAAGAAATAACTGTTTTGTGACGTTCGTGGCCATTTTCTCCGTTTTCTACTTTTCGACACAATGAACTTCAAAATAGTATAACTCTGCACAGGAATGACCGGTTTCAAAAATTAAACCACCTATTAAAAGGAAAAAAGAACATATGTTAACAATATGTAAAAATACCATTTTCGACCTTATGCCCAGAAAAGTCTGATTTTGACAGAACAGGTCACTTACAGTCATGTTACTAGTGACATTAGTCATTTTGAATGACTAACTGTAAAAGTCAGATGACTAACTAGTTAGTCGTAGGATGCATCATTGAACTTGGTCACAAGACCAATGTAAACTAGTCATGTGACCAATTCATACAAGTCTAAATTGACAAATGAGATTGGTAAGGATTTCAATGACTAACTGAACAGGTCAGATGACCAACTGGTTAGTAGTATAATGCAGCATCGAAATTAATCACAAGACTGATGTAATAAGGTTAATTTGTGATCGAGAATTATTTGACTAATTTAAAGGGAAAATACAACATTTGCAAACATCAAAAAATAAAACTACCAAATCATTTTGAAATATCTTGCTGGACTGTTAGTGAATGACAGTGTAAAGCATCCTGTAAAATCATGGCACCTGGTATACTGTCATTTTCAAGAAAAGTGGTATTTTTGTATCAATTTCCAACGCTGATCGGCCGATCAGCGTTGGAAAAAACTGGCTTTTTTTCAAATACTGGCCCCAATTGACCATCACACTTGTTTGCAATCGATTACAAACCTAGGAACGGGTACGAGCCAGCTAGACTGGTTCCCTGACCTTACAATTCCCCAATGTATGTAAACTGCTCTGTTTCTTCTTATATGGAGTCAGGGAACCAGACTACAGGAAAATGATTGTTTTTCTTGGTTTTTATAGCATTTTCGAACCCAAAACCTCAAAAAAGTCAGTGTTACTATATTTGCTATATATTTCCAACCCCCAATTCCATCCATTTCTGAAAACTACAGCAAAAGCAAATGATGTATATTCCCTTTAAATTAGTGGCGTGAGGCACAGTGCAGGACTAAAGTAAATTATTCAAATTGACTAGATGGCAGTGTAATGACGTCTGCACAAGTAAGCAGTATGTCTTGGGTTCGAGTCCAACCCGACAAAGCTCAGTGCTTTGTTATCACAAACCCTCGGGTAACACTGAGTAGTCAAGTATTTAGTGCTTGAAAAATACAAACAAAAATAGTCGACATCCAAAAGACCTGAGAGTACAACGAAACAACTACCTTCTGTTGTGCAAGCGCACATATTCACCGCATCTTTCAAACTGTATCATTGTTCAAAAACCGTTGTCATTCTTGAACGGTTTACAGTCTTTGTTGGCTAACAGGCAGTGGCGTGGCGTAGCCAGACATTTTTCAGTGGGGGGCGCTGGGGGGGGGGGGGCTGGAACATTTAATGGGGGATGGGGCGTCATGTAGATCAATTATAATTTTTTTAGAAACTCAAAATCTCAGGGGGGGGGCCACTGGGGGGCGACAAGGTTTCATGGGGGGCGGGGTCGCCCCCCCCCACGCCCCCAGTGGCTACGCCACTGCTAACAGGGTTTCAAACAGTAGTTTACACAATTCCCCAAAAGTCTTAATCAATGACGTCATAAAGACTATCAGATTCAAACTTATGATGACCAACCGATGTGTGGGACTTTTTTTTTGTGATGTTTATTCCAAGATTAAAACAGACTCAAACTTGTTTTTGCTATTTTTTTTAAATAATTGAAATGTGTTCCTCTTCTTGTGTAGTCTTCATTCGTAAAAGACTTCGAGGCAAGACCGTTTGGACTCGGTATGGAGCTGTTCGAAACCCCAACAGTTAGACTGAGCCTCTACAACAAGGGAACTACCATTCGGGAAATCGCACAGGAAAGGACCAGGAGCAAAACGGAGCCGAATCGTACGGTAAAACAAAACCGCAGTTTTGGGATCCCAACACCGAACGCACGCATGAGATATCGCGTCATTTACGCGCTTACGTAAGTCGTTCGTCATCAGCAATTATAAGTACAGGTGTGGAATGGTCTGGTTTCCTGAGTGTTAACAAAACATCGTCAATTAGTTATTGCAAACTATTAATCTATGCGAACAAGTCGATACGAAAAGTCGGGGAACCGTAAAATAGTATCAAATCGTAAATTTGAAATAATTTATGAAAAAAACCCCGAATATATATGAGGTATGTTAGAAAGCTAACACGCTTTGTGACGTCGTCTTTTTCTCAAAAGGATTTGGAAGATCCATTCTTTATTTATGACCTGGGTGACGTAGTGTCCAAGGACAATCAATGGAAGAAGTCGCTACCCCATGTTCAGAGCTTCTATGGTAAGACGTAATCATTTAGTAGTATTAGTTATATGTTGTTTTTTTTGTCAGCGGCCCTCCAGGAACTGTTGTAAGCATCAGGTGAATGACATTAATATATCACATGACTTCATGTATAGTGTTAAGCCTCTGGTTTGTATCTATCTCTTTGACCTTAACCTAAACGTTTTTTCACCAAACAAAATATAATTTCGTTTAAGCCAGGGAAATATCCTCTGCTTATTTTTTTCATTCAACGTTGAAGAAAGAATTTGAGTGGAACGGGAATGGAACCTGCAACCTTTGGATTGCCGTTCCGGTGCTGTACCAACTGGATTTTCAAGTTCTGTGTTTAAGTTCCCCATTTTGCCAATGTGTTTGTTCAGAGGGGCGCTAGTCAGAGGCCATAAACCCGTACATGTCATGTAGCCGCGGATCTAGTCCAAAGTGATGATGCTGGCAATAGTTAGGAAAGCTGCAAACCCGGGAAATAACAAATGAGGATCACTCAGACAGGATACAGCTTTTGTTTGATACAAACGTTGAAATAAAGTTTATCTTGCAAAACCTATTCTTCTTGTTTATCTGTAGCTGTTAAGTGTAACCCGGATCCCGTGTTTCTGCGGCTGCTGATTGGACTAGACAGAGGCTTCGATTGTGGCAGTAGAGTAAGAACGAGAGACTAGTGTGAAGTTTAGTGTTTCCCTTTCAGAACTCCTGAATGTCAAATATTAGGCAAACAAAAAATACTCGGAGTTCCGGAATTGATGCGGCGACGCGGCTTTTTTTTATTTTCAAGCTTGGACTGTACAGACAAGGTGGAGTACTATTTTGCTTTTTTTGGGGGTGTCCTCATGTACATTGGTGTCCTCCATAATTGCCTTGGTGCCCTCAATCAGTTCACTTGGTGCTGGTAAAAAAAAAAAAAAAATAGGAGAAGCGGCAATAGAGGGGAGCTGTTGGAGCTACTACGGAAATGTTTGGGGGAAAAAAGGATTGACGCGCATGATTAAAATCGACGCGCGCGCTGACCAGAGACCGAACTATTTTTTGTTTGGCCTAAAGTAGGGTCCAAAGTGCAACATTTTGTCTCGTCCCTGTTACCTCTGATGTTTGGCTTCAAATACATTTTATTTGTTGAATAAGTTGTTTGCTTCACATAATCACTGTTGGATAACAGGTGCACTACAGAGGGCATCCGGAATTACAAAATCATAGACGTCAGATGTAACAGGGACAGGAATATAAGTGAACTACACGTTTTTTGAATAACACAATGCACAGAGGTTGTACTAGCTAAACAAATGTTTTAATTCTAGCCCACTCCTTGATAAGTCATTATCAGATTTAGTTTTGCCCTCAAAGCTTTTTCTCACTTTGCCTAAATGCTTTTTCGAGAAATGGCGTTAGTCTCGGCAGACTATTTTAAAGGTATATATGAGACCCGAAAAATTCACTTTGTATTACGTTTATGGAGACTTAGGAGAGAAAAATGAACAACCAGAATTAGAATGTACATAGGACATGCGTCTCAAAAATAAATATCTTGTTACTAATACTAGGGCACGCGCTCATTATTATGATTTAAGACCAATTATGAATGGGGGATCTAAGAGCAATCTTTTTTTAAATTTCCCCTGTGACTGGATTTGCGACTAAGGCTCCTCTTTTCGAGAATCAGATGTTATACCTAGATTTCTTTCTTTCGATAATTACACAGAAACGGCACGTTCTCCAGGTGTAGTGATCATTGTGAACATTTGTTTGTTTTTGTTTTACTTTTGAGGATTTTCCCAACATATTTCATGAGATTCTATCCCTCATTATTTGACTTTTCTCAGTTATAAATATCTTCACTTGTTCATATACAGTACAACCAATTATCCGAAAGCAAGGAGTCAAAATTTCTCACTACACCGGACGTAAGTGTCCCTTTGAAAGGGGAACATTTGGCCCTATATATAAGGTGCTTCTAGCAATACTTATGTATTATGTAATACCTTTCCTTATTTCACTTTTCTTAAATGTGTTGCTTCTTGAAGAAAGAAATAGAGACGGTCCTTGATTTAGGAGCGAGTCCAGATCGCATCATCTTTGCCCATCCCTTCAAACAGGAATCACATCTACGCTTTGCGAGGGAGAAAGGGGTGAGGCTCATGACCTTTGACACAGGAGAAGAGCTGCACAAGGTCAAACGCGTTTATCCTGAGGCCAGGTAAATATTACAGTCCGTCACCTTCCGAGTGAAACTGTTACATATGCCATCTTATTAAAAATTGTACTCTCCTTTTTCATAGTCTGGGGCAGGTAGGTAATCCGCATTAGCCAATTCATTATACTGACGTTAAAAATGAATGATAGGATCTAGTCCAGAACGAAGAGTATGGGCTTGCTGGTTTATCAGATGTATGTGTGCATGACAAGCTGAGGGCAAGTTTGGGTGAGGATAATTAGTCGACTAGTGGTCGAGTCCGGACGTAATTTAAGCCTGCACATTAATAGCAAATTGCGAACGCCTGTACTCAAATGATTGTCAAAATGCATCACGAATCTTCTTGGTCCTGGCTCCCTGTTGTGTATTAATGTGGGAACGGATATTTGTAACTAGCGAAGCAACCGCGCACGGTGGTCCATTTCAAAATAGTCCAAGTACCGGAGCACATGGGCATCGCCATGATTCTTTTATTTAGAGGGGGGCAAAGCAAATATTTTCCTCAAATCATTGTACTTTGTCTTGCATAATTCTCAATGTATTATTCTTTTTCGAAGGTGGGACATTTGCCCACCCCAACCCCATTGACACCCCTGCGGGGTGTTGTTAATTGTGTATTAAATTTAACAGCAATATGACTGCTGGGGGGTAGAGTTAGTCCCACCTCTTGCAACGCACATACGAAAGCAATACGAAATGTATCATTAGTTATCTGGTCTTTGTTTTATCAAGTTCTTTGAAGTCAAGGTTTTCCCACACATAATGTTGCATTGTCATCCTCAGGCTGCTACTTCGTGTTGTGTTCGACGATAGTTCTTGCTACATGAACCTGGGAGTCAAGTTCGGATGTCGCGAAAGTGAAGTGCGCCCTCTATTGGAGCTTGCCAAGGATCTGGGACTTTGCATTTACGGTGTATGGTAAAGAAACACAATTCAATCTCCTCTCAAATGTAATTAAGACCTACTATATTATGCAACACAATCAGCCTGGGTATATTTTTATCTCCACGTCAACAGCGCATTATGCCTTCCGCCAACAGCACGTTTTATCATTTTTTTCCCCTCGGTTTTGAGCAAAACATTGCACTTTTACCTTTCATACATTTTAAATTCGTAATTTTGACACAAACGGTGACAAACAAAATAATTACAAGAGATAAGGGCATCCGGTTTTTTTGTTTTTGTTTTGTTTTGTTTCTTTGGTTTTCAATCCTGACCGATTCCTGCTGAATCATGGGGTCCCCACCAAAGGGGGAACAAATTATTACCACCGATTTTTTCTGGAACCCAATATATTGAACATTCAATTCCGAAAATCAGGCTCTGTGTTATTTGAAAATTAATGCCATATTTTAACGCGAAGTACGGCATGGAGCAGCTAGTGCAATCCCATGCACAAGCTGATAGAGGCTGCCAATACAGCCATAATGCTGGAGAGCTGCTTGTTGCAGATATAATGTACGTCAACTGCATCTTGGCTTTATTATTGTATTCAGTCATATCAACTCAAGATAAATTTGACCTCATTGCAATAATCAAAACTAGAGACAATACGCAATAGACATCATTATAATTTAACCATCTAGGGGTGCAAGTGCATTTTTCTTCAGATTTCTTTTTGACCGACCTAGCCTGTTCAGAGGCAAAACAAACACAAATGAGAACCGTATAAATATCTAGGAACGCCCCAATACGTCGGAGACGTTTGATTTTTACAATATTATCACTTCGACAAAAACATCTTTATTGTTTATTTCTTTTACTTGAGCTTTCACATTGGCACCCAGGCCGGCAACCCTCGAGTTTTCCGCGAGGCCATCCGATACACCCGGCCAATCATCGACAAAGGCAGACGCCTAGGATTGGACATGAAGCTGCTGGACATTGGCGGGGGATTCCCCGGCAGACTGTATCCAGAGGAACCCTTCGAAAAGGTACTGAAGACCTTTTTATTTCAAGGGGGCGCTGTTCTTCAGGGATTGTTTATATATAAATACCCTGGTCCGCGTATTTTGTTGAGAGTTGGCGCCAATGCATGCATTATTTAATTTTGAATTGAATAATTGCAAGACACTTAGGTTCTCGTTCTCTTTTTTCCCTTAAATTAAACTAATCTCATAGTTAAATTTAGAGAAGTAAATAGAAATTATTGAACCCATAGCTCATTTTGCTATCCACTTGGCTACTGTGTGATAGCTCGACGTGGACCGTACTTTAAAATGCTTTAATTTAATTGGTTGACCAAATAACAACAATGCTCTAACTTGATATCATTGTTCTGTTCTCATGGATAAACGTACTGGCTCAATCGAAACTACTGAATTATTCATGACCTGGCCCCATTCGTCATAGGAATACAAATTACGCTACCCATCCTATCCAATGAATGGATGACATGCACGTATGGCATGCAATTCAAATGCATGATACTCCCATGCTTCATACAATGCCATCACCATGCACTCTACACTCTCAGTTAGAGAGAGGCATTGTGGGGAAAGTGGCATACTCTTGGACACAACACATGACCGGTGGCCGACTCTGCTGTACCCCAGTGGAGAGTCATGCATTTCCCTCATATTTTTTTTTTCTAAGATGCCAAATATTACGAATTGTCCATATATTTCTACGATGTAGGCTTCATGCACCTAATTGATTGCCAATGCATTTCGAAATTTGCGTACACGTTCACTGTACACCGCAACATTACATTTAAGTGACTGTTACACATTTATGTAACTGTGGGTAGAAAGGAAGATTTTAAACTTGCAACTAGTGGAATAACAGCTATGACCAGCCATTAAGTTTGGGTGTTTTTTTTTTTTTTTTTTTTTTTTTGCTTAGAGCCTCTCAAGATTACTAGTGACGTTTTTGTTTTCTCATAGAGGGCTCAGATTTCTAGAACATCAATTAGCTCAGATTTCTAGAACAGCAATTGAGACTTGACAGCTTCCCATCTTTTGGGATATTCACCACAACCCCGTGTTTTACTTCCAGTTTGCAGAGGCAGTCCGCGAGGCCCTGGAGGAGAACTTCCCTCCAAGTAGCGGCGTGAGGGTCATAGCTGAACCGGGAGCATTTTACACACGATCGGCTGGGTATTTGGTGGCCAACGTCATGGCCAAGCGGATCTACAAGTCGAGAGGGAACAAGGACACATACCACACTGTAAATGGTAAGATAACCTCTTTTTTAAGGGGGTGTCGCGCTGAATTTCAAAACTTAGGAATTCTGCTATACATGTTGTATCAATGAATAAGGTATGATTCCTGCTAGCGATGTTTGTCATGTTTAAATGAGGATCTTCAAGCCGAGCGGGAACAAGGACACATACCACTATGCAAATGGTATGATAGCCCCTCTTTTCAAGGGGTGGGGATTGTGGTCACATTTGTAGGTTGTATTTAGAACGGGTAACGTCTTTTGAGAGTATGCCACTCTCCAAGCCTCTTAGTTAGACTTCCTCGAGAAGTTCTAAAGAGGATAACCACCAAGTACCAAGTTTGTCCGACTATGCCGAATTCAACGTTTGCTCTCGCGCTACATCTCAGAAAGTGGAATGACTAGGGCTTCTTGTTCTGTTGTATATGTTGTGTCGTTTAATGAGGTACTATTCCTGCTAGCGTTAGTTGTAATGTTTAATTGAGCGTATCTGTTAGGAAAGGCTTTCGTCTGGTCTAAAAGAAGAATACTTACCCTACATTATAACACAAATTGGGAAGTGTATGGGACGTACCCACGGTTTCCCCCTTTTTAATGTGAGAAGAGCAGACGATCAAATTTCAAGGTCCAATGCTACAATTGCTTCAATTTGAGATGTTAAGTTTTGTTTCTTTTTGTTTTTCTGAATAGGGGACAAAGCCGATGAAAATGGACCATTTCTGATCAATGCAGGAAATTGAGTCCTCCTGTAATCCTTATTTTACCAGAAGGTTTTCAAATTCCTTCTTTCTGGATCGAACAACAGTAATTGTCGTTATACATCCTTTCAATTTCAAGTGCGCGCCGACCAGAGTGGTGACAGGTGCATACCTATGTTCCCCAATACCAGTGTTCCCCGAAATCATCACCCTATAACCTTAACCCTAACTCTAAGGTTTTCGGGGAACATCGGTATTGGGGAACATATGGGGAACATCGGGAAGTCTTCCAACGTTTATTTATTTATTTATTTATTTTATTTCTTTCTGGTAATGAAACCAAGGGTCCCTCAAAAGTGCCTTATGCACTGTAGCCCGGAAGCCTGAAGAAACCTGTAGAGAGAAGAAAATGAGAAGAAATTACAGTTTTAGAGGTGGGAGGAAAAGCCCAGAGGAATATTCTGAGGAAAACCCACGGAATCAGGTAGGGACTGAAAAACCAATCCACATATTGGCCCGGGCGGGATTCGAACCCGGGTCACAGCGGTGGAAGGCGAGGAAAGTACCTGACTCCCCAAAAGAGGTACTTGTGCTTAATCTAATGTTTTCTTGTTTTTGCAGATTCCACCGATAAGGCAATTTCGATGTACTACTTGAATGTGGGAGTCTTCAATGCGTTCAACGGCCCGGCGGCACAGTTTGTTCCGACTTTCTTCGAATATCCCGAGCCGCTTCATCCAAAGGTGAGACAAGCGTTCTCCTTGTGATTTGTTTCCTTTGAGGTGGTACTATATATCAAACCGTACGTTAGCCAACAATGCACCTTATTCACAAGGAAGCAATTTTGGTCGTGTTCCCCGAATGTAATTTATAAATTGTGAACTGTTGAAAGGGATGGTGCCAGACTACTTATTCATTCTAGCCTCACTTTCATTTTTTTCATGGTCGCTTAAAACATGAGGGCATTGTTAATCACAAATTTCAATTATTCATTTGAGCAGACTTGAATTAATTTGTAATTAACTTTATGCCATTGCTTTCATGTCTCTTCGCAAGTTACACAAAATAAGATTTTACCTTGCTTTCAATTTAAGATGGCCGAATCGTGAATAAGCCCCATACAAACATATTCCTGGTCGTTGGTTTATACATTTTTGAAAGTACCGACAACCCTCACACAATGATGTCATTTTTTAAGCTCTGGCAGGAGCTTCTATTAGTTAATTGGATGTCGGTTCGTCCGTCTTTCCAAAAAATTGACCAAAATATGGTGTGACATAATGTGCTTCGGCGTTCGGCGTCGCATTTGTAAGCTCTAGCAGGGATCATTTTGATCGATTTCATGCAAGACTTTTATGCAAGACTTCTTGTAACAACAGCCTCGTTTGTGTCTTACACGGCCAGAGCTTTTTATGCTCTCCCAGTTGTTTTTATATTCATCGTAAATCTATATTTCACTATCGACATTTAACTTCCAGTCACTGTTAATATGTTGAGGAGTTTGAGGTGCTGTTGTCCACGCTGACGCTTGGGGCAGAGGGCGCCGCCATGTTTAAGGTTTTATATTCCATAGGCCCACACGTGGTGGTGCATTCGCTGGTGCCTAGCAAACTTTCACGTTTAAACATTCCGTGATTTTGAATGCACCTGCTGTGCAAAAGAAAGCTAGGTTAAAAACGTGTAAGTGGAGGCAATAGTCGATTTGTTTTATTTTTCAGGTGTGGGGTAGCAGCTTAACAAATCATCTTCTCTCTCTGTTAGTCTGTTAGTTAGTTAGTTAGTTAGTTAGTTAGTTAGTTAGTTAGTTAGTTAGTTAGTTAGTTAGTTAGTTAGTTAGTTAGTTAGTTAGTTAGTTAGTTAGTTAGTTAGTTAGTTAGTTAGTTAGTTAGTTAGTTAGTTAGTTAGTTAGTTAGTTAGTTAGTTAGTTAGTTAGTTAGTTAGTTAGTTAGTTAGTTAGTTAGTTAGTTAGTTAGTTAGTTAGTTAGTTAGTTAGTTAGTTAGTTAGTTAGTTAGTTAGTTAGTTAGTTAAGTAGTTAAGTAGTTAGTTAGTTAGTTAGTTAGTTAGTTAGTTAGTAGGAAACGTTGTCATTGTCTATTGCTCCTACATGTTTTGACCGATTTCGACCAACCTTTGTGAGAAGCATCATGACACATAAACAAACTGGGAACAAAGGTCATCATAATTGTATGGTCAAAAACTGGATTTTTCCTTAAAACACTTCTCGATCCTGAAATCAAAGGTCATCACGGGGTCACTCAAAACTCAAAACACTACTCCTTCCAGAAATTACATGCCACAATCACGTGACTCAAGCATAAACATGAATTTGTTGGCCCGCAGCTTGCAAGACATTTCCGATCGAGCTTGTTAATAAAATACACGCTATTTGTTTAATTTGAACACAACATTTTACCAAGTCATCATAATCATTTCGCCGAAAAAATAATACAGGAATCTGGTGAAAAGCAACAGTTGAAGCCCTCCTGCCTTTGGGGACCCACGTGTCATCCCAAGGATGTCATATTCGACAAATGTATGATGCCAGAGATGGAGAGCGGGGACTTCGTCATGTTTCATGGTAGGTATTCAGACACCTTGCTGGAACGGAAGAGGGCGCTCTGTAGAGTGAATAAAAGACGACGGGAGGGGCATTTTTCAAAATTTGGCTTCCGTTTTATTGCCAGGACAAGAAAACTTTAGAAGCCATTGAAAAAGGGAATACATAAATAAGTGCTTGGCCGGTTTTAAACAAGTAAGTTTAAACCAGTTAAGAGCCACGACGCAGATAATGGCCCAAGCTGGAATGGATGTGAAGTAGGATTCCAGGTTTCTTTTTTCAAGCCTAAACCGTCAAAAAAACCGTTAGCCAGAGACGAGTCTAGAGGTAGGTCTGAAACAAAAACTGAAATCTTACCCCGTATCATGTATGTGTATGACTGAGGATAATTTCCTTCCCTTTTCGGTTGATCAATACACCTAGATATGGGAGGTTACGTAACCTCGTGTGCGTCTGGATTTAACGGCTACGAGGTCCCACCAATGTCTTACATTGCACCTAAGGACTCCCGGTATGTGGACCTTTGGAGTTTGGTATAGGTGTATAGTTACACTTTTATTAAATACAGTCAGTTGCGCTAAACGAGGCAAGGCCATGCACAAGTAACCCTTCAAGATTACAAACACCGTCGTTACTATGGTTGTGCATGTTGTAATCGTGGTACACCCAATGTTCCCCAATACGGGTGCATACCTAAGTTCCCCAATACCTAAGTTCCCAAATACCTAAGTTCCCCAATACGTATGTTCCCCAACCCCAACCCTAACCCCAACCGTAACCCTAGGGATTTTGTGGAACATCGGTAATGGGGGACATAGGTATTGGGAACATCGGGTTGACCCCCCCCCCCCCACCTATTTTCCCCAATACCTATGTTCCCCATTCCTTAGGGTTAGGGTTAGGGTCAGAGGGTTAGGGTAAGGGTTAGTGGGATAAGGCTAGGGTAATGTGGAACATAGCTATTGGGGAACTTAGGTATAGTGGAACATAGGTACCGGGGAACATAGGTATTGGGGACGGAACATAGGAATTGGGGAACATGGGTATGCACCCTTGTAATCTGTCAAAGCTTGCTACTTTGTTAGCCTTTCTTTTTAAGGGTGTTACGTGCATTCTTAGTCCTTTCACCTTGAACAATTTTAAGTGAAAAATCTGTGAGGGAAAATGCTTCTCATTTATAATAACAATTTAGTGGCTTGCGTCACGAGATTTAGAATTTGTTTTATCGTTGGTCAATTGGTAAATCTTTTTCCGTCTGATTTTTGTTCATCTTCAGACCACTTCTAGAGAGGATATTCTCAGCCTAGACGAGAGAATTCCTAGTGCTGATTCGAACAACTTGGAGCATGCGTGCCTCAGTGCCTTCGATTGATCCTAATTACATTTACATAAAATTGGGCGGTAGATGTTGCAGCATGAACCAGACAGCTGTTGAAGCATGAACCGACTTGATAACGCGTGGTTATTAAAGATCCATCTTGTTTGCCTGCAGCTGCTTAGAACATACCTAAATAATTATGCAGTGAGCAAAAAAAAACACACCAAAAACAAAAAAACGGTAAAAACCCTTGTACGGTGGAATGCTGGTCTTGTGTGTTTTCATTGATCAAATCTTATCGTATTGTAGTGTACGGTTATATGCCAGGTCCTTGTTTGTTCCGTCGGTCAAACGCAAACGGAAAACAAACAAACGCACTCAATTTTGTGCAATATCAAACACACTAATTTATTAAACGTCAGCATCTTTTCTATCTCCAAGCACACTCACTGAACTCAGTCTTTTGTCCCCCCCCCCCCCCCCCCCCCCCGGCTAGACAACTTACAAAGGAGTCAAGCGCTTTTACACAATGTATAACAAATAACGTGCCCCGGCGTCTGGCCAAACCCTTCCTGAGTAACTGAACAAAAGAACGATAACAGAAACAGTTCTTTGATAGAGCCTATTTCTTGAGCGCGCGCTAAACAAAGGAACGTATAGGGCAGCGGACCTGCAAACCAGACTATGCCGGAGGTATAGCCTACCGATATACCAGCACTGGCTTATGACAAAGAAAAGAGAAACAAAATTTTTGTCTTAAAATTGTCCTATGTCAACGTTTTTTTGGGTCTATTTATGTATATGTGAGTATATTTGTTTTCTGTTTGTATTTTATCTGTTGTCTGGAGATCCCTTTAAATAGTGATTTGTTTCGCTTTTGGGAAATCCTCGGGCCTGTTTGTTTTTAGTCCGTTGGAGTATTTACCAGTCCAAAAGTATGATTAGCACTATATTTCTTGTCTTTCAAGTAGTAAACCTTTTCAAATACACTAATTGTATAATATTTCGGTGGACTTCTCGGAGCCAGTCAAACTGTCACTAAAACAGCTTTTTTTCGAGGGAATTCGAGGGAATCTAGTCACTATATCCGATATTATTTTAATGATTACGTTTTTCTTGCTCTAACAATTTTGCTGTCAGGAATATTAGGTACCCTACATTGCGGATTTAACACCTGTCCATTCATTATTGGTGTACGGAGCAGCAAAGCGGTGTTTTAAATTCAAATAAAATGGAAGTGAAAACTGTTGTCTCTTGAACAAAATGTATGACAATTTGTCTTGATTTTAAATTCTTATATTTTCTTTTGGTATTTTTGATGATGGAGGTTTGTGTTTTTCTGCTACATAAATTTACAATTACGTAGCTTATTTTTTTCTCTTTTTATTGAAGTTAAAGAATGCTTTATTATTATTATTGTTAGGCCTACATGAAATAAATACATTTAATTTTGAGCGTCTTTGTTCATGTCCCGTTTATGATTATTTCCCCCATCTATTCAAAAGTCGTCGTTGGGCACAAAACAAATAACCAAAAAAAAGACGTTTGGCTCAGGTGTTTTATCCGACAGCCATTATAAATTAATACAAACATTGCCTAAGGCCAAAAAAAAAATATTCGGTCTCTGGTCAGACTAAAGTTCCTGAATTGAGGCGGCCACGCGGCTTTTTTTTTTTTTTTTTTGCCTTTTTTTTTTTTCTTTAAGCTTGGATTGTACAGACGAGGTGGGTACTATTTTGCTTTTTTGGTGTCCTCATGTACATTGGTGTCCTCCATAATTTGCCTTGGTGCTTTCGATCATTTGCCTTGGTGCAATTTCCCATTCCTTGGTGCTCTTTGGTAAAAATAAAATTGCGGAGGTGCGGAAATAGAGGGCGCTGTTGGAGCTACCGCGGAACATTTTGGAAAAAAAAGATCGACGCGCATGATTAAAATCGACGCGCGCGCTGACCAGAGACCGACTTATTTTTTTTTGTTGGCCTAAAATGTCAGAATGTTAGCGCTTCTAATTGTTAGAGTTAGCTATTACCCGTTGACATTAGGGGATGCACCAGAACCCCCTCCCCTTCCTGGATTTATGCCCGTAGCATCAACCCTTTGCGCAAAAAAAAAACACTGCGCGCTGGTGGACGGATCTGCGGCCAATTAGTTCATGACAACCTCGTGGAAATAAAACGTCGTAAAAATTGTTTAAAATTTCGTTCTTGCCTTGTCGGACAAATGAACCTTTTCTGGTAACGGTCCATAGCGCCGACGCCTCATAGGTCCGACGCCTCCTTTTTTCTAAGTCGGACAAACGAGGCGTCGGACTTATGAGGCGTCGGACCTGTGAGGCGGAATAAATATAAGCCTATGCCTCATAAGTCCAACCTCTCATAAGTCAGAAATGTTGGACTTATGAGGCGTCGGACTAATGATACGGCCCCGTCGTAGCAGCAATACCTTGTTTTTAACGATCATGCATCGCATGCATCGTGTAGACAGGGTTGTATATTTCACCCCCCAAAAAATGCCGGAGTTGGAGTCGAAGTAATTAACAGTAAAGTTAGTCAAAGAGCGCATATTCTAGTATTTTCGCTGGAAGATTATTCAGGTATCATAGCATACACAATGGGCCGGAAGAGCCCATCGATTGTCGTTACGGCGTAATCCTATATGATAGCACCAATCTACAACCAGTCTAAATGGCAGTCAGTAATCTGACTGATCTCCATATACTATATGGAGATCAAGATGACGTTATGTATCCAAGAATGAGCAACAATTTACTTAAAGGTGTCATGAAAGCCCATTCATGTTATTAGCAGTGTAGCGCCTACAACCCCGGCGAAAATGGTTGGGACACTTCCTGAGCCTGCCACGCTCACCAACTCCCCCGCTCCCCCGGTCAATGCTGTTCTCTTCAGCTGATGGAGCACACACCGCGCAATGAGAGACAACATTGAGCGGGGGCCGGGGGGTTGGGGGCCCAGCGAGATTTGGCCAGGATTGTAGTCAAGTCAAACACTGAACATGCCTACTTCCGCGAAGTCGGACATGAATCCAATATTTTACCGTTAGGTCCAAAGGCATTGAACAGCACCACCTTTTCTCAGCAGCGGCTGGTGTCCTGTCTCACCCACCGTAAAGAGTGCCCCTGTTGTTAGATGATGTGCAAATAATCTAGCGGTACAGGGGGAGTAAAAAAAAAAGCGAAACCAAAAACCCAAAAATTATATTTGATATAAAAAAAATAAATAGTTGGCACCAAAATTAATAATGACTGGAAAAAGCCAATATCATAAGCTACTTTAAGATGAAAAAAATACTGAAATTGCTTAATCCATTCAAAGAATATCGTCATTCAAAAACAATGACCCTAAAACCTGTCTCGTCTAACTCACCCTGTATATTCCTAATGACTTACATGTCGACGGTCAATAGGTTCATTGCTAGGTTACAATTGTACTGATAACCTTTGTCATTGCCCGCATAAAAGGTACACGTAAGTGGTTTATTTCGATTCCGCACTTAATTCAGCCATATCAGCTTATCTGTTCAAACAACACAACTATTTACTATAACGTTGCGTTGGCGGCTATAGTCAACATTTTCCATACGTGTCAGATTGCCATTTTTTTTGCCTGTTAGATATTATTACTTTCAAAAGTTGCAAATCTCTATAATTGAACTAAAACATGGAGAGGAACAGTTGTTGTTGTTGTTGTTGTTGTTTTTTTTCGGGGGGGGAATGATACATTTGATTTTACCATTCGTTTAAACATTGTTTTCTCTCATTTACTGTTAAATTGGAAAGCACTCAACCCGCATACAATGGAGAACAGAAGTTATCAATTACGTTTGCAACTCATTATGTGTGGATGTTGACATTATGTGAAAAAAAAATATCGTACTACTGCCTAAATCCGCAGTGAAGTTGCTCCTTAACCGAGCTTTGGCTGGTTTTGGGAGAAACCTAGTTAACATGTCTTGAAAATAAAAGAACGCAGGAGATCAAAACCTACCATAAGCCAATTGTTGAATAAAGATTTCTTTTGAAAAACAAAACGGTTTCTTAATAAGATCACAGTCTTTTTTTTTCTCCTCCCCCCCCCCCCCGGCAAAGCACCGGGTGGACGTGGGGTTGGACGCACGCTCCCTTCTTAAAAAAAAAATGCCTCCCCCAAAGAAAAAAAAAAAAAAAAAACATCGAAATTTGGCAACCGGAGAAAAACACAGTCCTCAAAATGACCTTGATTATTGTGTATAACCGCAAGTGATTTTTTAGTTTAAACATTTTTGTTTCTTAATTTTTTTCACAAAAACTGTTTTCCAAGATAGAGTTTTTATTTGAAAGCCCCGTGGACAGCGAATATCGCCACCTATTGTCTGACAATGACCATGAGGTTGGTTTTGAACAACGCCCCCATGGATATTTGTGTCCAGCCGGACCAGCCCCTCCCCCACACCCACGCACCCACAAGTGTGTATTTGCCTGCAATCGGGGACCCCCTATAGTCCCTCTTTTGTTTGTACTTTTTAGGAAGACCTCATATATGTTTTGTACACATCGCAAAATTGGGGACCTTCGGGAAATTGAGGACCCTATTATCCTCTATTGTTCAACGTCCCCTATTGAATGCAGAAACAAACTCAACGCACACACAATTTGATTTTACTGCGGCCGGTTGTCCGACGAAATAAAAGTGTCCACCTTTCAGCACGGATGCATGAAATTGGGCGCCCTCCACTAGATAAGCCCCCTCCCCTCCCCTCCCCCTTCCCCTCCCCATCCCACTCCCCTCCCCCCCCCCCTCCCCCCTAGGATGAGAACCCTGGCTACGCCGCTGCTCTGTCCCCTTTGGAGGCGGGCGACAGACGACATTTCACTCGAAAACAAATAAAATTACAACGATGATTACAGTGGCTCGTATTATTAAATTGTTTCTACAGTTACGGCTCACTGAACCGAGACCGGGACATCTGGGGAAAATATCTGGTACGTGATCACCACAAGGGCGGTTGTTTTGGATGCACGGATCACTGGTTTGCTTGCTTCCGAGACGGCACTGACCAGTGTGAGCTTCACTGGTGTCCAAATAAGCGTTTTGCGTTCTCCGCGTACTTCCTTCCGCCTCCGATCTTCTCCCCGAATAACCACGAAAAACAATAGTATGGGTTTTTCCAGCCAATTTCCCAAAATGTTCTTTTACTTTTGAAAGTCGGTTATTCATTTTCGCCTGAATTTGAGAATTGCTCTGTAACACCCGTTTCATTGTTGCTATCAGAGCATTCGATTCCATTTCAGTTCAATCAATTCAGTGATTGAGCAGCACCTTTCGTTTATGTCTATTCAGATTCGTTTACAAGACTTCTTTCTCGGTTTTAGAGGGTGATTTCAAACATGCACCATTTTTATTTCACTTTTAGTTTAATGCCACCGGCACCAGATACAATTAGGGGTCTCTTTGTCATTAACCGTCAATCAAATTAGCTG